TCATTAGAACGATGAAGGAAGAGTTGACTTGATAGAGGTGTACAAAACGATCAGAGGTATAGATAGAGTAGACAGCCAGAGACTTTTTCCTCGGGTGGAGGTTGCTTTTATGAGGGGACATAGTTTTAAAGTGAAAGGAGGTAGATATCAGGGAGACGTCAGAGGTAGGTTCTTTACTCAGAGTGCTAGGGGCGTGGAATGCATTGCCAGAGAGGGTAGTGGAGTCAGCCTCATTAGGGGCATTTAAGCGGCTGTTAGATAGGCCTATGGATGATAGTATAAAGTAGCGGTGGAGGTTAGATAGACCTTAGGTTTAGGGTAAAAGTTTGTAACAACATCGTGGGCCGAAGAGCCTGTATTGTGCTGTACTGTTCTATGTTCTATATTCTAGTTGCTTAATTACAGAGCTGAAAATAAGTTTAAAAATAGGAGAATATTAAGAGCTTAACATTACAGTGTTTTAAGGTAAGTTCTAAGCTAAGGATTGTCCCCTCACACCAGTCTCTGTCCAGGGCTCTCAGCCCGCGATGTTCTGGGGCTCATGGGCCGTGCCTGCAGGCCCCAAAGCACAAGACTGCGCTGCCCAGGCTGGTTCCACTGTGGGACTCAGCCCGTGCCCACTCAGCAACTCCACTCTCTTGGGGGGAGGGGGGGCGGTGGGAGAAAGGGAAAACCACAAGAGGAGAGAAAAAAAAATGATGGAAAAAAGCAGTAAAGGAACTGGCGAGCAGAGGAACTCCAACCGGAGTGCCCTACTCTGCTGCCATGGTTAACCTGCATGTTAACCTTAAGAGAATCTTGAACTAGGACACCCGAGTTCCTTTGTCCTTCAGATTTCTGAAGCCTTTCCCCATTTAGAAAATAGTTTACGCCTTATTTTTCGCACCAAAGTATTTATCCTCACATTTGCCCACATTTTATTCCACCTGCCACTTCTTTACCCCTCCTTGCCTGTCCAAGTCCTTGCACAGCCTCCCCAATTCCTCATTACTACCACTGACTCCTGTGCAATTCCAATGGTTACAGGCTGCCATCCTGAAAAACTCTTTTTCTCCCCACACTCTGCATTCTGTAAGTCAACCAATCCTCTGCCCTTGCCCCTAACACCATTATTTAGCAGCCTCCTGTGCAGCATCTTGTCAAAGGCCTTCCAGAAATCTAGATGGATCACCTCCACTCTTTTGTCTAACTTGCTCGTTACCTCCTCAAAGAATCCTAACAGATTTGTCAGGCATGATCTCCCCATGCTGACTCAGCCTTACTTTACTATGCACTTCCAAGTACTCCACAATCTCATCCTTAACAACAGACTCTTAAAATCTTACCAACGACTGAGGTCAGGCTAACTGGCCTATAATTTTCTGTCTCTGTCTCCTTGCCGCCTTAAACAGGGGTGTTACATTAGCTATTTCCAGTCCTCTGGGATTCTCCCTGACTCCAGTGTTTCCTGAAAGATCACCATCAGTGCCTGTACAGTCTCATCAGCTGTCACCTTCAGAACTCTGGAGTACAGCCCATCCAGTGTGGGTGCAGTTTCCCCAGCACCACCACCTTAGTGATGTTCACAATACCCACCTCTGCCCATGACTGTCTTGAAGTATGCTGATGGTGTCTTCCACTATGAAGGCAAATTCAAAGCACACCATTTCTTTGTTCCCCATTTCTATTTCTCAAACTTCGTTTTCCAGTAGTCCAATGTCCACTCTTGCCTCGCCTCAGAATAAATGTATCAATTTCCAATTGGCAGGCAGTGACTAGTGGGGTACCACAGTAATCAATGCTTGGACCTCAGCTATTCACCAAATATATACTAATAATTTCGATGTGGAAACTAAGTGTAAAATCTCCAAGTCTGCAGACGACACAAAGCTGGGTAGGAGGATGAACTGTGAGGAGATTGCGTAAATGCTTCCAATGTGATTTGAACTATGTGTATTGGTGGGCCAGTGCATGGCAGATGAAATATAATGTAGATGAATGTTAGGTTATCCACTTGGGGAGCAAAATCATAGAGGATTCAAATACAAGAGCAGGGATGTCTTGTTACAATTGTATGGGGTTCATTTCCAGCCTTGAGTGACTCTCTGTCTCTACTATCTCTACAGTTGTATGGGCCTTGGTGAGACCACACCTAGGGTATTGTGTGTAGTTTTGGTCTCCTTATCTGAGGAAGGGTGTTCTGACTATGGACAGAGTGCAGTGAAGGTTTACCGAGCTGATTTCTGGGTGTTAGGACTGGTGTGTGACTAGAAACTGAGTCAGTTTGGACGGGATGGCACAGTGGCTCGGTGGTTAGCACTGTTGCCTCACAGCGCCAGGGACTGGTGTTCATTTCCAGCTTTGAGTGACTCACTGTGTGAAATTAGCATGTGTTCCCCGTGTCTCTGTGGGTTTCTGCTGGGAGCTCCGGTTTCCTCCCACAGTCCAAAGATGTGCAGGTGAGGTGGATTGGCCATGCTAAATTGTCCCGTAATGTCCAGGGATGTGCAGGCTAGGTGGATCAACCATGGTGAATGCTGGGTTACGGGCATAGGGTAGGGGTTTGAGTGGGGTGCTCTTCAGAGGGTTGGTGCAGACTCAATGGGCCAAATGACCTCTTTCCACACTGCAGGGATTCTCTGGTTATATAGAAACTGGTTTGGACAGGATAGATACAGGAAGTATGTTTCTGATGTCTGGGGAATCCAGAAGCAGGGGTCACAATCTAAGGATGCTGGGTAGACTATTTAGGACTGAGATGAAATATTACTTTGCCCAGAAAGTGGTTAGCCTATGGAATTTTCTGCCACAGGCAGTGGTTCAGGACAAAATATTGAATAATTTCAAGGAAGAGTTGGGACTAACGGGATAAAAGGGTATGGGGAGAAAGAGGGAACAGAGTGCAGAGTTGGATGATCGGCCATGATCATATTGGCAGAGCAGACTCGTAGGACTGAATGGCCTATCCCTCTTATTTTCTATGTTTTTCTGAGGTACTTTGCCCTGGTGCTGAGTGAGTGAGGAGTCTATTACCCTAGGTGTAGAGTGCATGAGGCAATCGTGCTTCCACAGCTTGGAGGGAGGGCGGAGGCTGTCTTTGTATTTTTGCCTTAATTTTGGGTACCAAACTATCTGTCATTATTGCATCACTAATAAATTTGTTCTGCTTCCCTTTTTAATGCTATTATTTATATATCTGCGTTAAGAAAATGTAGTGTTCGGTTATTCTTGCATTTTGGAAGTGCGTGTCTTTGTTCAGTCAATATACCTGTCATTTCAGGTCACCAATTCAACCCCTACGCAAAGTAATTTAGCTTTATACTTTGTGTTACTCTGTTCTGGTGGGGCAGGAGGTGCAGGGAGTTATTTTAGTCTCATGGCCAACATTGGCCAAATGCTTGTTGAAGGAATACTCATCTCTGGCTGAGAGACATTACTATTGTAATTGGCTGCCATATTTATCTACATGACTGTAAATAGTGAGAGGTAATTTGACTCCAGGGTGTTTGCCTGCTCCAAGAGGGATGGTAGATACTTATTGTTCTCCAGTGGCTGACCAGGAATTATTAAGTGAAGTGAAAGCACATTGCTTTCATACCACAGGGTGGATTGGATGATGAGCAATTGTGTAAGGTGACATGTTCTCACTAAAAGAAGGTTGTGCGGTGAAATTGCTATTTTGGGATTTCTTATGGCGATGTAAATGAGATTGTTTCACTTTTACCTGAGTAATTTGAAATGTGCCGCAGTGTACCTGATTGAAACAGAACAGGAGTGTTTGGACCTCTTGTTCCCAAAGCTCTCTTCCATTTGGTGTTTTTCTTGCACCATGACTGGCCAAGCCTGTTGTATGCTAATTGCTATGATCATCCATGTCAAATTATGTGCCTTTCTAAGATGATAGGTGACCGAGATGACTGAGTAATTACACCATAAGTGTTAAAAACTTAAAAATAACATTATTGTAATGAAATGTCCCAAGGCACTTCAAAGGAGCATTATTAAATTCTTGACAAGACAACCAAATTAGGATACCATTCTTGTAATTAATTTGTGGAATAGGAGATGCATCAGCAATGATTATGATTATGTTGCTTCTTAGTGTTGTTATGGAGGAAATTCAAGTATCTTGATCAAGAATGAATACCAATATATTTCTAAATCAATACGGTATGTAATTTGGAGGTAATAGTCTCTCTCACCTGCTTCCCATCGGGTTTAGGAGCAACCTTGGTTAGTTACTGCAATGCATCTTGTAACTGGGGAGGTTTTGGCATTGTGGTAATGACACTAGACTAATAAACCAGAGACCCAGAACTAATGTCCTGGGGCCATGTGTTTACCACAGCAGCTGGTGCAATGTAAATTTAATTAATAAATCTGAAAGTTAGTCTTGATAATGGTGTCACAGAATGAACAATCTATTGGGTACATTAAAGATGTTTAGGACACAAAACCCACATGCCACTCCAAATCTATAGCACTGTAGTTGACACTTAATTGCTCTCTGTAATGACCGAAGAAGCCATGCATTCGTACCAAACCAATAAGGGTTGAAAAGGAACAAAATAAGGAAAACACCTGTCCTTTTAAGGAAACAAAATCTAACTTTCTTATCTGATCGGCCTACATCAGACTCATAGAAACCCCTTGAGCCTGTTCCACCATTCAGTGACATCGTGGCTGATCCTGGTCTAATTCCATATACTTGCCGTTGGCCCATATCCCATAATACCTTTTGCTTAACAAAAATTTATCAGTCTCAGATTTAAAATTAATGACTGATCCAGCATCCATAGCCATTTATGGAATAGATTTCCAAATATCTACCACCCTTTGTGCATAGAATTGTTTCCCAGCATCTCTTCTGAAAGATCTGGCCATAATTCTCAGATAATGACCATAGTTCTAGAATCCCCAACCAGTGGAAATAGTTTATGTACCCGGTCTTTTCCTGTTAATATTTTAGTGACTGATCAGATCACCCCTTAACTTTATAAATTCTAGAGAAACAAACCTAATTTGTATAATCTCTCCTCATAAAGCTGAAGTCCAAGTATCATTCTTGTAAACCTACATTTTAGTCTCTGCAAGACCAGTGTGTCCTTCCTAAAGTTTGGTGCCCTGATCCGCTCTCAGTACTCCAAGTGGGGTCTAACCAGGCTTTTATATTAACTTCTGTATAATTCGACTTAGTTACCTCGATATAACGGCCGGCATTCCATCAGCTTTCTTAATTATTTTCTGCACCTGTTGGTGGCATTTTAAAGATCTGTGCACCTGAACTCCAAAGTCTCTTGGACATCCAATATATTTAACTTCATGCCATCTAGGAAATACATGATCAATACTTATTGGTCCCAAATGGATAGTGTTGCACCTGTCACACCTGCATTTGCCAGTTTTGCTCATTCACCTAATCGTTTCAGTATCCCTTTCTGATTTTATGCTACCACCTACCCATAATCCCTACTTTCTGCTTCCTGCCACTCAATGAATTTCCCAACCATGTCAGTAACTTATCCTCAATTCTGTGGGCTTCTGCCTTGGTTAACAGTCTGTTATGTGGGATTTTATCAAATGGGGTGCCTAGCTGCTGAAGCTACAGCGTAAAACTACTTCCATGGCAATCAGCAGAAGATCAGTGATCTCATTAACATCAGATCAAATTTCTGCAGTTCTATATGAACGCTGATAGACAATTAAATATTGAAAGAGGAGGCTCCACAAATATCCCTGTCGTCAGTGCTAAGGGAGCCCAAGATGTCAGAAATTAGATTAGAATTGAATTAGCATGACTGGAAGTTCTGAGTGGTCTAGTGGGCTTAAAAGCCAGTAAAAGGGCAAATCAAATGCGTCCCAGGCTGTTGAGTGAAGGAGGTGAGGAAACAGCAAGGCTGTTGGCAATTTCCAACTCCTCTCTGGCCAAAGGAGAGATGCCAGAGGACTGGTGGTAGCCAAATGTGGTACTGGTATTCAAGAAGGGAGCAAGGGATAAATCAGGAAGCTATAGCCAGGCACTCTAACCTTGATGGTGGGGAAACAATTGTAGCAATTCTAAGAGAGAGGATTGATCTGCACTTGAAGAGGCAGGGATTAATCAAGAACAGCCAGCTGGATTTAATGGGAGGTCATGTTTGACCAACTTGATTAGATTTTTCAAAGCAATAACCAGGTGTGTAGATAAGGGCAATACATTTGACATAGTCTACTTGGACTTCAGCAAGTCTTTTGACAGCGTCCCACTTGGAAGACTGATAATGAAGATAAGAGCCCATGGCATCCAAGGAAACGTGACAGATTGGATCCAGAATCGGCTAAGTGGCGGGAAGCAGAGAGTGATGATTGAGGGGTGTTTTTGTCACTGGAAACCCATGCCCAGTGGTATCCTGTATTCAAGGGGCACTCTGCACAGTGATAACATGCTCCCTTCTACTGTGTCTGCATGGCCTACTTGATTCCCTTTGCCATTATCTGCACTGTTTTGCCCATTGCCTAGATCCCCAAACAAACCTGGCTGGAAGATTGTGAACTGTGTGTTGGTGTTTAAAATCCCTGTGTTTTTAACCATCTAAGCCTTCCTCCACCACTACCTCTGGACAAACTGCTGGTGGCTATAATCATAAGTCACCATGAATTATTCCCACAAATGTTTTTCGTTAAGATTGTGTCTGGTTTGATTGTAAATTCACTAAAAAAAAAAAAAATTTTTATTACAGAATGAAGAAAAGGCAGAAAATGTTGTTGAGGGGAGGTAAGTGTGTTTTCAGATTGATTCTACTACAAACAGGTGTCAGACTTTGGAGCTTCCACAAACTGACCTTATAAAGGGGCGAGGTGAACCAGGGGATTGTCGTAAATGACCTACTTCTTATTCAGTGATTGAGATTAGAAGGAACGTTTTCACTCAGAGTGGAGAATCTTTGATTTTCTATACTTTGGAGAGCTGTGGCAGTTCAGTCGCTGAACATATTCGTGACACAAATCCATAGACATCAAGGCACATAGTGCAGTAAAGTGGCATTGACATGGTTAATTAGCCGTGGTCTGCACCTGTTTCTGAGAGAGACAGCTGTATTTCTCTATCCCACCATCAATTCACATTCGATGAGTGGGCAATACTGCCCCACAGCCCGAATTAGACACTGACCCGAGATGCATCAGGTACTTATCAAGACAGTGCATCAGCAGTTTTTCAGTGTCCTGCCCTTGCCTGACATCTAGACAGGCACTTGCCACAACAAGACTTGCTGACAGATGAGTTTTGCTTTCTGCTCCCTCTAGGGATGCTCTTAAATTATAATGATTCCAGAACCAATTGTCAAGATAAACCTTCCTGGTTGAAGATGGTTCGGGCAATTAAAATTCCTGGTGGTAGGTTTGATGTTTGTTTTTCTGCATCCATTCTCATCCACTGTTCAGATTTTAATCTTGTTGTCAGTCATAACCTTGGACTTTTTCTCCCCCATTGAGTTGCCAATCACACTGACACACATTTTCTTCTAGTTTCATAGTGTTAAAGAATAGTGGGTGATTCACTTATGAGAGCCATTCCCAGAGTGTGAAAGAGCAGTGGATGACGTGCTCATCCAGTCCAAGTGAATATTTATATGTGATTTTTGCTTTCCAGCTGTGATAACACCACTGTGCCTGAACCAATGCAGACACAAACATCTGGATCTGCAGAGTCTAAAGACATTGAAATGAATGAAGTGAATGATGAGAAAGCTGGGAAGACTCTAAGTGATCAAACTACATCAGCTTCAGCAAACCTGACTCAAGGGGTGACACCTACTACAGAGATAATGACAAATACAGCAACAGAGACAACTGCACAGAACCTTGTCACTGCAACCGTCAGTGAATCAACTGCTGCTCTTAAACCTTCTGTGATCACTGCAAATGTGGCAAGTACACCACTCACCACTAAATCACCAACCCCTGGTGCTACTGAGATGCCTGCAGATGCATCCATGAAGCCCATGGCCTCGAATTCAGCTGGTGCTAAACCAAGTCTGGCCAGCAGAAATGTACCTTCCAAACCTGTTACTCCCAGTACAACTGCTAAACCACCTTGTAAACTTGCAGCTGCTACAGGCACTGCTATCAAGCCTGCAGTGCCTTCTGTGAATGCAGCTGCCAAACCAGCATCAACTACTTCTGGTGCAACCCCTGTGAATGTGGCAACTAAGCTGGTCACTTCCAGTTTGGGTACCAAACTGGACCAGACTGTATCCAGTGCAGTGACAAAACCTTCTCAAGCCACAGACAGTGCGACTGCCAAGTCTACTGCAGCTGGGGTGAATGTTACCTCAAAACCTGCACCAACTCCTACCAGCAAACCAGGCCAATCATCTGTGCAAACAGCCTCTAAACCCATGCCAATTACCAGTAATGCCACCCCTAAGCCCGCTGTTTCTAATGCTTCTGCCAGTGTAGTAACAAAACCAGCGTCAACCCCCAGTGATGTAGCAAGTAGCCCTAGCAACTTAAGTGGAACAACTCCAACCGTGGTACCCATTGCCAGTTCGCCAGATATACAGACAGCTGCAAACCCTCCTGCGGGCACGCCTGTTAGTGAGGCCACTGCTTCTCCAACAACAGAAAGAGCCGCCACTCCAGCTGCCTCATCACCACCTAAAACCACAGCTCCATCCCCCACTGCTACCAAAACTGCACCCCCAAAGTCTGTAGTCGCAAAACCAGGAAGCAGAGAGAGCAGTGCCTCAAAATTTAATGGGAAGAAAGTTCCTCCTCCTAAAAAGGAGCATTTGGCAAAGGAGCCTAGCAAATCCAGTACACCAGCTCGAGGTCGAAGTACCTCCAGAGACCGTTCCAACAGAGAAGGAAGTGGCAGGAGCACCTCATCACATCAGCGGGAGAAAGAATCCAGGGCAGATCGCAGGCATATCTCTCAGCATCCACGGGACAAGGATCATAAATCATCTACTAGGAGCAAGGTAAATGTTTGACACTAGAAGTTTTCAGTATGTTGATTATGTATATGTATTTCTGCTCAAAGGCAGATCTTGTGCTTTTGTTGTTGGCTGTTTGACTGACAGAGAAACAGCTTATTGGTTAAATATCTCCATACTATAATCATTACTGAAATGCAACTGCACTGTTAACCACCTAGGTTTCTTTCTGCTCCCCTGCCCCATTCAGGTATTGCAGCTCGTTGCATCGCTTCTGACAATGTTGGTTCTCCTGTTTCTCCTTTCCGTATTTCTTTTTTTCTGTATTGAGAATAGACCAAGAGTGTGGCTGTGATATCTTGGTAGAATTTAAAATTTATGGCTTATAAAGTTTTGTTGAACAAAAGAGCTAGTAATTGGTTAGGTGAGAGAGAGAGAGAGCGCACGCATGAGTGTTGTAATAAAGGGAAGATTTTGATTGGTGGGCTATGTTAAGCGGTGCTTACCTGAGGTTTGTTTTGTGGTCTCAGTTTTTGACATGTTGTGCAATGACTTGAGTGAGGCTTTGAGTTGTACATAGAGGTTTGTAGGTGACAGTACATCATGAGCTGTAATGATTAGTACAGATGAGAACGTAAAGCTGAAAAGAGACATTGACAATTAAATGAGTGACAGGTGGAGATCAATGTGAGGGCATCTGTAGATCTGAGAAAGTCATCGGAATGCTAGTCTGGCATTGTGGTTAACTATCCAACCTGATCCTTCTCAACTTGTATGCAACTTTTCACACCATTTTCCTCAAATATCCCTCGTCCCACATATCTAGATGAGACGCTCTTTTACCTGTGTCATCGCAAACATCTGCAATCGCTTGTCTTACTACTGTCACACTTAACTCTGGTATCCCCAAGGATCTATCCTTGGCCCCTCCTATTTCTTACCTAATTTGCCTTTGAGTGACATCAGTTTTCACCTGTATGCTGATGACACCCAGCTCTCCTTAACCACCTGTCTTAACCTAAAATTTCAATCTGCTCGTGCAATCTCTTGTACTGGATGAGCAGAAATTTCCTTCACAAATATTAGAAAGAGTCCTCTGCTATTTGTCTTCAGTTCCTGCCACAAACTCTATCACCTATCTCCCAACTCCAACCCTCTTCTCTGCTTGCTGCAGTGTTCCAGCGAAGCTCAACGCAAGCTGGAAGAACAACACCTGATTTTCTGCTTGGGGATCCTGCAGCCCTCTGGACTCAATATTGAGTTCAATAATTTTAGGGCCTAAACTCTCCCATGTCCTAGCTCCCTACCTCACACACCAGGCGTTGTTATCACATAGCCTGCCATGACACACCACCTGTTGTTAGTCACTAAACTGCTAGTCCCCAAGAACAACTATTCACCCTCCCAGCCAAATCGTTATCAACTCGTTTGTCTGTCCAAGTGCTCTTCTCTCTCTTTAGGCTCTATCCTATTGTTTACTTTTTACCCCACCACCCTCCCTATTTTCTGCATATAAACTGACATTTTCAGCTACCATCAGTTCTGAGGAAGGGTCACCAGACCCGAAGCGTTAACTGATTATTTCTTCACAGATGCTGCCAGACCTACTGAGCTTTTCCAACAACTTCTGCTTTAGTTCCTCTTCCCTGACCGCTGACTGACATGGAATCAGCTTGTTGTGCTCTTGGTGTTTCATTTTACCCGAAGATAAGTAGCCAACCAAGCATCATGCTATCAATAAGACTGCCTACTTGCCGGTTTTACTCTACTCTCAGCTCATTTGCTGTTACCCTCATCCATGCCTTTCTGACCTGTTGACTTCATGCTGATCTCCCAGCTTTCAGTAATTTAGGGCACTATTTAGGTACTGTGTACAGAATTCATAGAATCCCTATAGTGTGGAAACAAGCCCTTCGGCCAACAAGTCTACACTGACCCTCGGAGAATCCCACCCAGACCCATTCTTGAACACTATGGGCAATTTTGCATGGCCAATCCACCTAGCCTGCACATCTTTGGGCTGTGGGAGGAAACCGGAGTACCCAGAGGAAACCCACGCAGACATGGGGAGAATGTGCAAACTCAGCACAGGCAGTTGCCCAAGGGTGGAATCGAACCCAGGTTTTTAAAATTCTCAACCTTGTCATTTGATTTGATTTGTCACACAAACCAAGCCAGAGAAAAGTCGTTTTTGGTTTTGCCCTCCCTATTCCCCCCAACCTCACGACCAATGCGCCCTTTAAAATTTTTGGTTATATTTGACTGTTTTTCTGTGATATAGCTTTGTGTGATATGCATGCATAGTATTTAACTGGAACAAGATCAGCAAAGTGTCTCACATTTATGCAATCTATAACCATCCTAGATACTGCTTACTTTGCAATTGGAGGTCGTACCTTCAGCTGCCAAGGCAATACAAACTCAGCAATTCCCTCATAAAACCACTCTACTGCTCTTCAAAACATACCTCTTTAACCAGTCTTTAGATCACCTGCCCTGAGAGGTCCTTACCTTATCAGCATTAAAGATGATATTTTAATAGAAGCACCTGACATGTGATTTGTATATATCATGTGTTCTCTGCTTATTCCATCAAGTGCAGAGCACTTAAACAGACCATGCAGCGTGGGTGGCCCATGCTGGTAATGCTTGACACAACTCTCCTCCCACTCTTTACCATGTCATCCTGTCAGCATATTCATCTCTAACCTCCTCCTTTGTAATTATCCAGCTTTCCCTTAAATGCATCATACCATCACATTAACCATTTCCTGTCTGCAGTGTGCCACTTTTTTGCTGCTCTTGGGTAAAGAAGTTTGTAAAAACCGAAAGAACTGTGGATGCTGTAATTAGGGAACAAAAACAGAAGTTGCTGGAAAAACTCAGCAGATCTGGCAGCATCGGTGAAGAAAAATCAGAGCTAACGTTTCAGGTCCAGCGACCTTTCCTCAGAACAGAATAAAAGGACAGAATAAAGAAGTTTATTCCGAGTATCTTATGTAACATCTTACATTATGATCTGTGGTTTTGCATTCTCATGACAAATCACACCTCAGTCCTTTACCCTAGCTTATTCAAATTTTTCTCATGGGTGTAGCTACCCGCTACGGCGGCATCTTTCTGAACCTGTTTTGTACCTTCTCCATTCTCAATTTCCCTTACAAAATTTGGAGACCAGAAACATTCACAATACTCTGCATGGTCTAACTAAGTTTTAAAGCACGTTTCTCTGCTTTGTTCTCCTCTGGAAGGAAACCCTAATGTTTTTGTCTTGCAGACTTTTGTTGCTACTTGTAGTGATTTATGCACCTGCACTTCACTCCAATTTGTATACATTTTGACTGCTCAAACAAGAAGTATTTCCTCATATTTGCCAGTGTTGAAACTGTACATCTGTTCTGCAAGTTTGTTCATTTCCATGTAGTTTGCCACAGTACCCCTCAGTATTAATTAACCTCGGAATATGGTTTATTCAATTTTGAATTGTAGTTGACAATCCATGATAGAAGTCGTTCATTAACAGCAGTGATTCCCCCAGCACCATTTCTTGTGGAACTTCCCACCACTTGTCATTAAGTTGCTTTTAATATTGTCATCTTATTTTATAGATAGCCCCAAACCCATTGCACACCCAGTCCCGACACCATGTGCTCAGACTATATGTTGCCTGATGTGTCACATCTGCCCTCACCTGCTCCCTTTCAGCCCAGTGCTGGCCCCTCATTCTTGTACTCTTCCTGTCAACCTGCCAACCTGCCACTCCGCCACTCCCCTTTCTCTCACCCTCTGCCTATCTCGCGCTCCCTATCTCTCTCTCTTGCTTGCTACCCCTCTGTTGCACGCGCACTCCCCCTCTTTCTCGTGCGTGCTACCCCTCTCTTGCAGGCGTGCTCCCCCTCCCTCTCGCGTGCACGCACTCCCTCTTTCCCTCTCTCTTACTTTCTCTGTCACTCTGTGTCTGTCTTCCATTCTCTCTTCCTGTCTTTCATTCTCTCCACTCCTTCCCTCCCTGACTGTGAGTGCCTGCAGCAGTCTCTATGTTTCTGTCTCCTGCTTTTTGCTCCCAGCTCATTTCCCCCTCTCTCTGTTAACCCTTTTGCAGTCACTGTGAGAGCATGTTGATGGAAGCTCACAGGGCATGGAGTAGTTTGAAGAGCATCTTAAAAAAAAAAAAAATGATAAACTTCTCATGTTTTTCAGACTACTTCTGAGAGAAGCATTAAGGATCGCAAGACTAGCAGCAAAATTCCAAAGAAAGAAGCGGTGATTTTCTCTCTTAACCTCTCACTCTGCTCCTGCCCTGCCCTACTTTCCATCATTCTCTTTAGCCATATCCCTCAGCGATACTGCTGTCAGTTTCTGTCCTTCCCCCATCTCCTCTTGGCTTCTCTGACCTCATGCCCAACTTTTCCCATTGGTTTCCTCCTCTATCCTCATCCTCCTGGCTCCTTGACACCTCGTCCCCACCTCCCACCCACCACCAAACCCTTTGATTTTCTCCAGTCACCTTATCACTTTCTATCTCCTCTGCTTAGTGCTGCTTTGATTCTCTCCGTCCCCTTATGCTGATCTTGGACGTGCTGCTTTCTTCCATTCTCCTCCACAGCTGCTCCTCAACCCTGCTTTTCAAATCTTTTCTTATGGTTCCTCAGTCATCATTTGCCACCTTTCCCAAGTAGATGTTACTCACATTTGAACTTAGGCTGAGACAGAAGGTGGTGGTGGAGGATTGTATCGTGGACTGGAGGCCTGTCACCAGTGGTGTTTCACAGAGATTAGTACTATGTCTGCTTTTGTTTGTCTTTTATATATATGAGTGAATTGGATGATGGATGGTATAGTGAACAATGAAGAAGGTTATCTAAGATTACAAAGAAACCTTCATAGTTGGGTCAAATGGCCTGCAGAGTGGCAGATAGAGTTCAATTTGGATAAATGTCAGATATTGCATTTTGGTAAAACAAACAAGGGCATGACTTATACAATTAATGGTAGGGTCCTGGGTAGTGTTAAAAAAGAGAGATCTAGGGGTTCAGGTACATAATTCTTTGAAATTTGCGTTACAGGTAGACAAGGTAGTTAAGAAGGCATTTAGCACACTTGCCTTTATTGCTGAGAACTTTTGTCTAGGGGTTGAGACATCATGTTGAGTTTGTACAAGACATTGATGAGACCTCTTCTGGAGTACTGTGTGCAGATCTGGTTGCCCTGCTATAGGAAGGATATTATTAAATTGGAGAGGTTTCAGAAAAGTTTTTTAAAATCATTTATGTGTTGTGAGAGTCGTTGGCTGACCAGCATTTATTGCCTATCCATAGTTGCCGTTGCAAGGTTGGTGAGCTATCATCTTGAACCACTGTAAACCACCTGCTGTGGGGTGTCCCACAATGCAATCAAGGAGGGATTTCTAGGATATTGGCCCAGCGACAGTGAAGGAATGACTATGTATTTCCAAGTCAGGATGGTGCGTGGCTTGGAGGGGAACTTCCAAGTGGTGGTGTTCCCATGTATCTGCTGCTCTCGTCCTTCTAGATGGAAGTTGTTGTGTATTTGAAGGTGCTGTCTGAGAATCTTAGGCAAATTTCTGCAGCGTATCTTGTAAATAGTGCGCACTGCTGCTGCTGAGTGTCAGCGGTGGAGGGAGTTGATGCTTGTGGATGTGGTGCCAATCGAGTGTGCTGCTTTGTCCTGAATGGTAATAGTTTCTTGAGTGTTGTTGGAACTGCACCCATCCAGGCAAGTGGGGAGTATTCCATCACACTCTAACTTCTGCCTTGTAGATGGAGGACAAGCTCTGGGGAGTCAGGAGGTGACCTGCTGTTGTGGCCACTATGTTTATTTGGCAAGTCCAGTTGAGTTTTTGGTCAGTGGTAATCCACAGGATGTTGATATTGGGGGATTCAGTGATGGTAACACCATTGACTGTCATGGGACCGTGGTTAGATTGTTTCTTATTGGTGATGGTCAAAACCTGGCATTTGTGTGGTGCACAAGTTACTTGCCACTTGTTAGCCCAAGCCTGGATATTGTCCAGATCTTTATTGCATTTGAACGTGGACTGCTTCTGTATATGAGGAGTTTACCAGGATGTTTCTGGGAATGGAGGTTTGAGTTATAAAAATAGGCTGGATGGGCTGGGACTTTTTTCACTGGAGCATAGGCGGTTGAAGTGTGACCTTATAGAGAATTACAAAATCGTGCGGGGGGTAGATAAGCTGAATACCAAGGGTCTTTTTCCCTAGGCTGGGAGAGTTCAAAACTCCAGAAGTTCAATCTACACACGAACCACTCTGTGTTTAAACAAAAAAATTGTCCCCAGTCTTGAAATCCCCCATCTTGGGGAAAAGACACCTGCCATTCACCTTAACTATGACCGTCATTATTTTATAAACCTCTATAACGTTCAGTTGCCAAATGTTTACTTGTTGCATAAGTGAAATGGCGTTTATTTATGAAGAGCCCAGATGCAGAAAATGTGGTCAAGTAGGAGTACTGGCTCAGTTTTCTGTTTTTGAATATCTAAAGATTGAGAAGAAAGGGTTGGGGTTTGTAGTGAGCCCATAACCGTGAAGGACTGTGGGGTAGGGGAGATGAAAAGACATTGAGTCAGAAGTGTGAAAGGGCATGATACAAACAAAACAGAAATGCAGGCAGGAACTGGACAGTAGATTGCTAAATGTGTACTGGCCAATTTAAGAACTCATGTTTGAGAAGCAAGGAATTGTGATATAGGAAGCAATGATTCAAGTTCCTGTGAATGCAGACTGTCACTGGGAGGGACTGCAACAAAGTCGGCTTCAAGACAATGAGTGCAGGCAGGTCAGTCTTGTTTGAGAGGGAAGGCATATAGCAGTATGGTAGAGAGTAGAGCAATAAGTTTAAGAAAGGGTGAATGTAGATACATGAAGAATGAGGATGTCCAGAGAGAATTAGAGATATCCTGATGTGGGGCAGCACTTAAAGTACCGAGAAAAATATATCCTTTTTACACAGTCTAGGAACAATTTTAGATTCTTCACAGTTAACTTATTTCAGTGGATATAAATTCAATTAACATGAATGAGATGATTGATTGAATAGCTGTCAGTGGAAGGGGGTGGACAGGAGAGTAAGCTGGGTAAAAGTGAACGGAAAAACGAGGAGGTGAGGGGGAAGGGTTGGGTGGGAGAACAAGAGGGAATGTGAAAGATAGGGCATGCCACGAGAAGGGGGTGAGAGTGCAGGAGGAGGGGGGAGCGATATGGGAGAGCAATATGTGAAGCAGGCAGGCAAACAGGTAATGGAGGAAAAGTGTAGGTGTTGATGACTGGAAGAGCAAGAGCTGAGGGAAGCAGGTGAGTGAACAAGGGGACGGAAAGTGTCACAACCTACTTGCAAAAGTGCACTGATATTTAAGTCTCGTTGCTCCTTGGGTTATCATAAAAGTTAACAATTTAAATCAAGTGTCCCCAGCTTTCCTGCCTGATGAATTTGGGTTAACAAAACCCGCAGGCCATATTTCTGTATGCAAAAAGAAACCATAATTTATTAAAAATCAATCTGTATTAACCAGGAAAATAAAATATGAATTATCAACTTATGGTCGTAGAAAGATGGGAGCAGAGGTAGGGATTCGGCCTATCAAATCAGCTCTGTCATTCAAAGAGATCATGACTATTCTGATAATCCTTCAAATTTCCTGCTTTTCTCCCCATCTTGATTTCTTTACTCATTAAAAATATTTTAGGGGAAGATAGGCTGATTTTTGATGACCCAGCCTCAACAGCGGTCTGCAGTAAAGATTTCCACAGATTCGCTACCCAGTGACAGACAGAAATCCTATTCATCTTACGTTGATATCATGACCTCTTGTCCTAGACCCTCCCATAAGGGAAGCAACCTTTACGTATTCACCCTGGCAAGTCTCTTAAGAATCTTATATATTTCAATAAGGTTCCTGTCATTCTTTTATGTTCCACAGAGGAAAAAGGCCACTATACTCAACCTGGCCTCATAGACAGTTTAAAAACCGAAAGAACTGCGAATGCTGTAAATCAGGAACAAAAACAAAGTTGCTGGAAAAGCTCAGCAGGTCTGGCAGCATCTGTGGAGGAGAAAACAGAGTTAATGTTTCGGGTCCGGTGACCCTTCCTCAGAACCGAAACTGATCACCAGACCCGAAACATTAACTTTGTTTTCTCCTCCACAGATGCTGCCAGACCTACTGAGCTTTTCCAGCAACTTCGTTTTTGCTCATAGACAGTTTGTCCATTTCCAGGATCAAACAACTGAACATTCTCTGGACATCTTTCTTTAGATAAGGAGACTAAAACTGTTTGCAGTATTCTAGTTGTGATCTGTCTAATTCCTTTTGTAGTGTTGTACTTTTATACTGTATTCACTTTGAGATAAAGGCCAACATTCCATTTGCCTTCTTCATTCACCACTGAACTTGGATGCTAGCTTTTAGCGATCTATGCTTGAGGATCACAAATTCCTCTATGCTGCAGCTTTCTGCGCACTTTATCCATTTAAATAATGTGCAGCTCTTCTATTCTTCCTGCCAAAGTACATAAACTCACGTTTCCTCCACATTATATGCCATCTGTCAACATTTTACCCACTCGCTTAGCCTGCCTTATCCATCTGCAGACTCTGTGTTATCTTGCCTTCCCTTTCATGAGGCCATGCGAACTCTGCTTGATCATGTTATATATTTCTAAATGATCTGCTTTGCAAGCTTTAAAAAACTCTTTTAACATTTTCCCATTAACACACATTAACTTATCTTGCCTATAGTTTTCTATTTTTTGGTCTCCTTTCCTTTTCAAATACAGTTATTACATTGGCAGTTTTTCCATCCTCTGGGAGCTTTTCCACATCTAAGGATTCCTAGAAAATTACAACCTTTGTAGCTACTTTTTTTAATATCTAAGGATTCGTCCCGTTAGAGTATTTTGTATCTGTTTTTACTGTGGAGCAGCACATTGAAGAGAGATAACGTGAGGAAGTAAATACCGACATCTTGAAAAATGTCCATATCACCGAGGAGGAGGTAATGGGTGGCTTAAAACACATAAAGGTAGATAAATCCCCGGGACCTGGTCAATTGTACCCTAGAACTCTGTAGGAAGCTAGGGAAGTGATTGCTGGGTCCCTTGCTGAGATATTTGTATCATCGATAGCCACAGGCAAGGTGCCAGAACACTGGAGGTTGGCTAACGTGCCGCTATTTAAGAAAAGTGGTATGGAAAAGCCAGGGAATTATAGACCAGAGAGCCTGACATTGGTGGTGGGTATATTGTTGGAGGGAATCTTGAGGGACAGGATTTACATGTATTTGGAAAGACAAGGACTGTTTAGGGATAGTCAACATGGCTTTGTGCGTGGGAAATCCTGTCTCAATGACTTAATTGATTTTTTTGAAAAAGTAACAAAGAGGATTGATGAGGGCAGAGCAGTAGACGCGATCTATATAGAACAAAAACAGAAGTTGCTGGAAAAACTCAGCAGGTCTGGCAGCATCTGTGAAGAAAAAATCAGAGTTAACGTTTTGGGCCCGGTGACCCTTCGTCAGAACAGTTCTGAGGGTAAATAGACAAGATCTTTTCTCTGGGGTGGAGGAGTCTACAACCAGGAGGCATAGGTTTAAGGTGAGAGGGGGAAAGATATAAAAGGGACCTAAGGGGCAACTTTTTCACAGGGTGGTGCCTATATGGAATGAGCTGCCAGAGGAAGTGGTAGAGGTTGGTACAATTACACCATTTAAAAGGCATGTGGATGGGTATATGCATAGGAAGAGTTTAGAGGGATATGGGCCAGATGAAGGCAAATGGGACTGGATTAATTCAGGATATCTGGTCGGTGTGGACAAGTTGGACTGAAGGGTCTGTTTCTGTGCCGTACATCTCTATGACTCTACAATTTTGGCATCTCTTTCTTTTTATATATTTAAAGGAGCCCATGCTATCCATCTTAATATTCCTTGCAAGTTTATCCTCAAAGTTTATATTCTCCCTTTATTCCTGTTTGGTCATTTTTGGTTATTTTTTAAAACATTCCCAATCCTCTTGCTTACCACTAATCTTTGCCACGTTGTATGTTTTATCGTTCAATTTAATGCTGTCTTTAATTTCTTGATTAACCATGGTTAACTTATCGCCTTCCTAGAATCCTCCTTTCGCACTGCAGTATATCTTTGTTCTGTGCAATGAGCTATTTTCTTAAACATCTGCCATTGTTGCTCAGCCATCTTTGTTGCTAAACTCTTCCCCCAGTCCATTCCATCTAGCTACTATCTTCAGTTCGAACCACTTTTTAAACCCCTTACGTATACATGCAGACTGACACAGACAAGCAAATAAACATAAAATGGAGTAAAAGATATTAGAGGATCGTGGTGGATTTCACCAGTCTGCAGGATTCAAGGAGGTATCCTTTTTTCTTTTTCCAAATTCTTCTGGTCTTTGATCATCATCTTCCATAAAATCATGCAGCTCAGAAACAGACCCTTCGGTCCAATAAGTCCATGCAAACCAAAGTCCTAAACTAACCTCATCCCATCTGCTTGTGCTTGGCCCATATCCCTCCAAGCATTTCTTATTCGTGTACTTATCTAAATGTCTCTTAAATATTGTAACTGTACTTGCATCCACTGCTCCCTCTGGAAGTTCATTCCACACATGGACACAAACACTCTTAAAAAAAGAAAATTGCCCCTCGTGCCTTTTTTTTAAAATCCTTCTCCTCTAGCCTTAAAAATATACCCTAAGTCTTTCCAGTTTTATACTAAATACATTAATTGTTCACTCACTGGTTAGAGGTAATAGTTTATAGCAAATGGTGGGAGAGAATAGCTAACTGTCCTTCAGTTCCAGGTTACTTCACTGCAGAGGTGATGCTGTCGTTTTATAGCCTGGAGGCTTTGCTTCTTTATTGTTCACACCCAGGTTGTTCATCTACCAATCAGAAAGTTGGTATCATGCTGATGATTCTTGGCCCACACAGCTGGTTCCGAGAGAGAAAGCAGAACCAGTCAACAGTCTGTCTCTGGGCAAAACCTGCCCTGAACACAGACCCATGTTTGAGTCTCAAACATTTTCCCCACTCCCCCGTTTTCTTTCTTATTCACACGTGGGGCATGGATGTTGTTGGTTGAACCAGTGTTGACTGCCCATCCCTGGTTGCCTTTGAGAAGGTGGTGGTGAGCTGCCTTCTTGATCTGCTGCAGTTAATGCAACAGTCCAAAGTAACAATGCTTTGTGAGTTACAGTTAACTTTTTTAAAACTGCAATATCTACTTGTCCAGTCCTTGGTTTAAAGCAGTATCTTTCCCATTTTGGTCCACAATCCAAATAAAGAATAAAAAGATTTGGTCTTTACAAGATCTGGATGGTGGAATAAGCAGGAGAGCAAGAGTACATAGTTTGGTGAGAGGCTGGGGGGCAGGATGGTGCTTCTGGGAGAAAGAGAAGGGAGGAAGCAGGCGGTGGGATAGCGTGAAGAAACAGAGGGTGTGGGAAGGAATGGATAGTTGAGCAGAAAGGGAGTAGCAAGGCAGAGGGAGGGCATGAACGATCAGGGAGAGGCAGGAGTACAGGATTGGACAAAGGACAAACAGACGCAGCACAAAGTCACAGATGTGTGAAATGGTGAATCATGACTTCAGCGCTCTGTTGGTTTGGGAAGGAGTAGAGTTGTACAATCGTGGTGCTGAATTGAACTGCCCGTGTGTTTAAATAAGCCTGATTCATGTTAGAAAAGTCTTAACTCAAGCCATCAGTGGCTTTTTAAATGCAAAGAGCATAGCTCAGGTTCTGATTTTCCTGCTTTTACATGAGAATGACGTGACTGCATTCCCAGAATACCTTAGATGCTCTCAGTGTGACTCCCTTTATTTGTCTAAATTCCTTTTGAGCTGACTTGCAGTGGTCCTGTTTTATTCTTGCGTCAGTGGCAGTTGACCAGACCATTTTTTTAAACCAGAAGAGAGTTAAAATGGGAAGTTTCCTATTAATCAGCACGAATGTCCTCAAAACTTTCCTTCTAAGAAATGTGTTTTTTTTTTCAATTTGCAAAGGAAAAGGACGTCTTTCCCTTTAACCTGGATGAATTTGTAACTGTGGATGAAGTGGGTGAAGATGAAGTGGGTGAAGAGGAAGGCACTTCTGGAAATCAGATTCCTGAAGGTAAATCTAAAACCAACGTCCTACCTTCAGAAAGAACTGAGACAGAGGCAGCAATGGACATCAAGGAACAAGAACCGATTACAGGTAAAGTCACAGTCCTGGATTTGTCACACGGTAGCAGCCAACCAGGGAGGCCCACAGAATCTCTGGGTCCATCCTAAACAAGTCTAGGCTTCCAGTCCTGTGCTTGAACTGTGATGGAGGAGAATGTTTGACTATAGATATACATTATGTTAAGTTGAATATCCTTGTGGCTAAACATAACTTGATTGAAGTACAAACAGAAAATGCTGGAGGTACGTTTACCGATTCATCAGACGGAAGTATTTATTCTTTATTTCTTCAAAAGTACTGTCAGACCTGCTGAGTATTTTGAAAGTTTAATTTCAGATTTCCAATATCTACAGTTGTTTTCTTTCAGCATAATTTAAAAGGAATTGGGTAATTAATTGGGAGATGAGAAAAATAGTTGGAAAGCTTGTATTGTGATTGGACTGTGCCAAATTGTGCTATAAATTCCATGATGGTGCACCAGACTTGTAGTTCTGAATTTGAGTTGTGTATCCCTCCGTCCTAAGGTTAGAAGTGTGGATGTTCAACGCAATTCACAATTCCTCAGGTCACTCCTGCGTCAGCCCAGATAATCTCAAACAATAAATCAAGGATCTAAAATATGGTAGCTAAATTTACTGATGACACTAAGGTCGGAAGTATGTCAAACACAATTTGTCAGGTACTATAATAGTCCATATCCAAAGCAGCGAGACGTGGATTGGGCTGACAAGTAGCAAGTAAAATTTGTGCACAAATGCAAGGCCATGCTCATATCAGCCTTTGACATTCAATGGCATGACCATCGCTGAATCTCTGACCATGCATATCTGGTCACCATTGACCAGAAACTGAACTAGACTAGCCATAGAAATACTGTGGCTACAAGAACAGGTCAGATGCAAGGAATCCCACAGCAAGAGCCCTGTCAACCATCTACAAGTACCAGTCAGGAGTGTATTAGAATACTCCCCACACTTGCGAAGCTCAGTATCATCCAAGACAAAGCAGTCCACTTGATTGATGCCACATCCATAAATATTCATTCCCTCCTCTGGCAGCATCCATGGAAAGAAAGCAAAATTAATGTTTCAAGTTCAGTGACCCTTCTTCAGAACTAATAGTAGCTAGGAAAGGTTGGTACTTACGCTGATGACAAGGGAGAGCGGTGGGTAAGAAAAGAGTGAATGAATAGGTAGAGACAGAGCCCGAAGTTAACTTAGTGATTGTTTTACCAGAATACTTTGTACCACTGAGTTTTGCAATCTCTGTCCATTTAATTAATACTTCTTCTCTTCTTCCTAAACTTGATAAGTTCACATTTCCCCATGTTATTCTCTGTCTGCTAAATTTTTGTCCACTCACTTAATGAGATTACTTTACTTTTGTATCAACTTACTTTCCTACTTTAGTGTCTTCAGTAAATTTAGCTACTATACGTTGGATCCTTAATTCATTGTTTAAGATTTTCAGTAGCAACTGGGCTGAGGCAGAAGTGATCACAACTGGGCACTACAACACAAAGGATGACTGTTACAACTTAAGTTGGAGTTAAATCCAAATTCCAAAGGCATTACTAGGGAAGTGTGAAGAACACCATTTTGAGATCGTCATGATAAGCTTTTTGCCACTTTCTAGCTGTGGAGAGATTGTAACTGCATCTCCATCTCAGAAATAGATTAATTCTGGATAATGGTGGAGATATAGCATAGACTAGATGGGATGAAAGGCCTCTTCTTTTTTTGTCAACTCGGTCTAACTTTATGCATTCATGCTGACTGGTAACCGAGTCTTTGTTCCACAGCAGGTGATGCATCAACAAAGGTGATGGAGAAGACAGAGCTGAAATCGAAACCTGCAACCCAGCCCGAGCCCCAGGCCAAGGCCCCTCCCCAAGCCAAAGCTGAGCCCCAGGCCAAGGCCCCTCCCCAAGCCAAAGCTGAGCCCCAGGCCAAGGCCTCTCCCCAAGCCAAGGCTGAGCCCCAGGCCAAGGCCTCTCCCCAAGCCAAGGCTGAGCCCCAGGCCAAAGCTGTTTCCCAAGCTGAACCTGAAAATCAACTTCAGACCGAGACAACTGTAAAGGAAGAGCCTATGGAGACAGAATTGGAGAAAGCCCAGGTACAGCCATCTGATACCTCTGCACCGGCACCCAGCAAAGTCCTTCCTGTTTCAGAATCAAAACCAGAAGCAGCCGGAACTACTGCTGGCAAGAAGGAAGCAGCACCTTCGTCGGGTGGGGACGGTGAACCTTCCTCCAAAACAACAGGACAACCCAGCAGTCTAACCCCAACCCCTGCGTCATCTGTCAGCTCTGGAGGAGACAGCACCAAGTCTACAAGGCTGGAGCAGCGAGCAGGTGAGTGATTTATACGGGGGAATGAACTGTTAAAACTAAAAGCTGAAGCTCAAAATTGATTGCAAGTTATTGGCAAACCTGCTGATTGGCAGGCAGCAGAATGGACAAAATAGCCAAATACTCTATTTAGAACATAAAACGGTACAGCACAGGAACAGGCCCTTTGGCCCACCATGTCTGTGCTGACCATGATGTCATTCCAAACTAATCCCATCTGCCTCCACAAGGTCCAAATCCCTCTATTCCCTGCCCGTCCATGTGACTATCTAAAATGCCTCTTAAACATTGCTATCATCTCTGCCTCTACCACCTTACCTGGTAACACCTACCACCCTCTGTGTAAAAAGCAAAACATGCCTCGCACCTCCTTTAAACTTTCCTCCTGTCACCTTAAATTCAACATGTCCACAATGACTCTTACTAATTTTTATAAATGTGCCATAGAAAGCATGCTGTCTCAATGCATTATTGATTGATTTATTGTCACGTGTACTGAAATACAGTGAAAAACTTTGTTTACGAGCAGTACTGGCGATTTCTGTATCCGAGAGAAGAGGTGGTAGGAGGTCATTACCAGGGTGTGATGGGCCTTTGATGATGTTGGTCGCCTTTCCATAGCAGCGAGCCGTGTAAATGGAGTCCACGATGGAAGGTTGGCTTCTGTGATAGGCTGGGCTGTGTACACCACCTTCTGTAGTTTCTTACGGTCCTGGGCAGAGCAGTTACCATACCAGGCCATTATGCGCTCGGACAGTTTGCTTTGTATGGTGCATCTGTAGAAGTTGGTGAGGGACCATATGGACGTGCCAAATTTCCTGAGCTGCCTGAGGAAGAAGAGACATGAAAGAAAAAACAGAGTTAACATTTCGGGTCCGGTGACCCTTCCTCAGAACTCCAGTCCTGAGGAAGGAAGGGTCACCGGACCTGAAATGTTAACTCTAATTTTACCTTCACAGATGCTGCTAGACCTGCTGAGCTTTTCCAGCGACTTTGTTTTTGTTCCTGATTTACAGCATCTGCAGTTCTTTCGGGTTTTTTTTGAAGAGGTGTTGTGCCTTCTTGACTGTTGCATTTACGTGGAAAGTCCAGAACAGGTTGTCGGTTATTGTCACTCTGAGGAACTTAATGCTCTTCACTCTCTCAACTTCCGTTCCATTGATGTAGATGGGGGCATGTTCTCCTCCTTTCTTTCTGAAGTTGATGATCTGTTCTTTGGTTTTGCCGACATTTAGAGATTGTTTTCATTGCACCACGTCACCAAGCCCTCTGTCTCCCTTCTGTATTTTGACTCATTGCCAGATATCCGTCCCACTGCGTTGGTGTCATCAGCGAACTTGTAGATGGCATTCATTCGGAATTTGGCAACACAATTGTAGGTGTAAAGGGAGTATAATAGGGGGCTGAGGACACATTCCTGAGTGTTATCGTGGAGGAAGAGCAGTTACCTATCCTCACTGATTGCAGCCTATGGGTCAGAAAGCTGAGGATCCAGTTGCAGACGACAGCGCTGAGACGGAGATCACACAGTTTTGAGATCAGTCTGGAGGGGATAATGGTGTTGACTACAGCTCCACCTTCAATGACCAGGAGTCTGACTTCAGTGTCTTTGTTGTCCAGATTTTCTAGGGATGAGTGCAGGGCTAGGGATACGGCATCCCCTGTGGCCCTGTTACGTTGGTAGGGAAACTGCAGGGGATTGATGCAGGTTGGAGACTGGAGTCGATGTGGGCCGTGACCAGCCTCTCAAAGCACTTCATGATTATTGAAGTCAGAGCTATTGGGCAGTAGTCATTAAGGCACATGTGTATGTTTTCTTGGTACAGGGATGATGGTGGTCTTCTTGAAGCAGTTGGGGACTTCGGCTTGTAGGAGGGAGAGGTTGAAGATATCGGTGAATACCGCCGCCAGTTTGTCTGCACAGGATCTGAGTGCTCGACCGGGGACACTGGTCGGGCCCATTGCTTTCCTTGGGTTGACTCCCAGGAAGGCTGCATAAAACTGCAGAGATTTGTGAACGCAGCCCGGTCCATCACAAAAAACAGCCTTCCCTCCATTGACTCCCTCTACACTACCGACTGCCTCAGGAAAGCAACCAACATAATCAAAGACCCCAATTATACTCTCTTCCACACATGTCCATTGGGCAGAAGATACAAAAGTTTGAAAATATGTGCCAACAGATTCGAGAACAACTTCTCCACTGTTACCAGACTTATGAATGGATCTCTTGTGCATTAGAGTTGACCTTTCTCTACACCTTTTCTGTAGCTGTAACACCACATTCTGCATTCTCTTCTATTACCCTAATGTACTTACGTAAGGTGTGATTTGTCTGGTTAGTACGCAAAACAGTACTTTCCACTGTAACTCAGTATATGTGACAATAATAAACTGAATTAAAATGAAACCTATGCCCCATAGTATTTGACATTTCCACCCTAACCATGCCTTTCGTCATTTTTTGTGTTTCTATCAGGTCGCTCCTCAGCCTCTAACATTCCAGCAAAAACAGTCCAAGTTTGTCCATTCTCACCTTATAGCTAATACACTCTAATCCAGGCAACAACTGGATAAACCTCGTTTGCACCCTCTCCAAAGCCTCCCCATATCCTTCCTAGAGTATGCTGACCATAGCTGCACACACTACTTCAAACATGGCCTAACTAAAGTCTTATACGGCTAAATATTAGGGTGTGACTGATGGTATCCCCCCAGGATCTATCTTGGCTCAGTTATTCACCTTATTCTCTAAATAGTGCAAAATTCAAAACAGAAGTTGTCCACAGAGATTTGGGATTACATGGAGCAGAATAGAAAATTAGCCTTTTCTGTAGAAGAATAAAATTCAAGAGGGTGTAAGCCATGCTTCAGTTATGCAAAGCCATTATTAGAGTACACTTAAAGAACTGTGCACAACTCTGGACTCGACACATTAGAAAGGACATTGGGTTCCCAAGAATTTAACAATAGGGTGCATTAATCGAAGATTATGAAGGAGACAGTGGCATAATGGTAATGTCAAGACTTAGCAAAGACTGTGGGGACACCGTTCATATCCCACCATGGCAGCTGGTGGAATTTGAATTCACTTAATGAATCTGGAATTTAAAGCTGAGTTTGTCTCAGTTATTGTGATCATTAAACACAGCTTGATTCCTTGATTGAACCTGTCTCCACCACATTGTCAGGCTCTGCATTCTGGATTCTGATTACTTGATGTATCAGTTTTTCCTCATTTCACCATTGCTTCTTTTGCTGATTGCCTTAAACCTATACCCTCTGGTTCGAAGTTCTTCCTCAAATGGATTTTCCCTACTTAAGTCATAGAGTCATACAGTATGGAGACAGATCCTTCAGTCCTACTAGTCCATGCTTACCATGTTTCCAAACTAAACTAATCTCATTTGCCTGCAGTTGGTCCATATCCCTTGAAACCTTTCCTATTTGTGTACTTAAATGTATTTTAAATATTGTAACTGTACCTGCATCCACCACTTCCTCTTGCAGTTCAATCCACATGCCAACCACTCTGTTTTAAAAAAAAAAGTTGCCTTTATGTCCTTTTTAAAACTATCTCCTCGCCTTTAAAAATATGTCCCCTAGTTTTGAACTCCCACGCCCTAGGGAAAAGACCTTGGCTATTCACCTTAGCCATGCCCTTTGTGATTTTATAAGCCTCTATAAGGTCACCCCTCAACCTCCTATGCTCCAGTAAAAAGAAAGTCTCAGCCTACCCAACGTCTCTTTATAAGTGAAACCCTCCTGTCCCAACCACAATTTACTTTATCAAGATCTCTCATGATTTAAATACCTCTATCAAATTCCCGTTCATCCCTGGAAATGTTCTCATGTTTCTCTTTTGCATGCTGTGTAGTGCCTTCACACTTTATTAAAACATGATGCCCAAAACTGGACACAGTATTCCACTTGATAAAGTCTCAGATATTACACACGTCTCTCAATACAGGTGTGTCTGGCACTCACTGATCCTGTGGGATCTCTCTGAACAGGTGTGCGTCTGTCACTGTCTGATCCCTGGGGAACTCCAGTGCAGGTGTGTCTGTCACTCACTGACCCCAGAGGTGTGTCTGTCTCTCATTGATCCGAGGGTATTTTCTTGGTAAATGGAGTCTAACAAGTGAGTGTAGTTATTTGTGAATTGCACCTGAGGCAAATTTGTAAAGGTTTTTGATGTAACCTAACCACCAATTCACTAGTCCTTTTTACTAAATAAATTAGCTTATGGAATTTATAACCATGCTAATACATTTTATTTTTAACAGATGCTAAATTGAGAAGAGAGCCAAATTCTGAGGTGGAACCAGAAGCAAAGCGGACAAAGTTCACTGGGGCCACCATTGCTGAATTAAAAATGCCATCCTATAAGCCCAACAACCCTATTGGTGAGTTGTATACAAAATTGTTGCATGCACAGCTTGGATCTTTAATAACATTGTTACACAAATGCAATCATCATCTGTGAATCTCAGAATGCATTGCTTCCATGGAAGTCAACCAGAGACTGTCATGAATTTTACCGTCCTAGGGAAGTGACCCCATTTATCTGTGTTTTGGGATAGTGCACATGCTGTGTGTGTGTGTGTGTGTGTGTTTGGGACGGTGCACGGGCAGTGTGTGTTTTTGATGGAGTGTGTGCGTGTGTGTTTGGGACGGTGCACGCGCAGTGTGTGCGTGTGTGTTTGGGACGGTGCGCGCGCACATTTCAGAGGGCGCGCATGCATAGTGTGTGAGAGTTTTGGGAAGGAGGGCATGCAGGCGTGCAGAGTATGTGTGTGCACGTTTCAGAGGGTGTGCGCGCATGCAGAGTGTGTGCACGTTTTGGGAAGGAGGGCGTGTAAAGTGTTTCTGTTGGGCGACAGTTGGGTGTACGGTGTAGGAAGAGGTGAGTGCTCAAGAGTGTGTTGTTGACGAATATTCAGATCACTGCTGACATTTGTTCTGACTTTTGTAGGTGTTGAGTTTATTGTTCCAAAGACCGGATACTTCTGTCAGATTTGTTCTTTGTTCTACACAAATGAAGACACGGCCAAGGTGACTCACTGTGGCACTGTGTTACACTACAAGAATATGGAGGTAGGTGTTTCACTGTAGTCGTCTTATCATATCCAGGAACACTGAACTCCTTTTCAATCAACAACATCCCGAAAAAGTATTATCAAAACTCAACTCAGGCTGCAGCTCTGTTGCTGTGCATCCTATTTTGTGGATCAAATGAGGCTGATAATGGATGGAGTGGACTCAACAAGGTTTAAATGCTAGAATAAACTGTATTAGGTTTTAGTTGATCAGTGCCCCTCATAGATGATTTAGAGTTGGGGACCAAGTGTAGTGTGTCAAAGTTCATAGATGACATTGAGCTGAGGGGTAGAACAAAGTGGGCAGAGGACACTGAAAGTCTGCAGAGGGATATAGATAGGTTAAGTGAGTGGGCAAGGTTCTGGGAGATGGAGTACAACATTGGTAAATGTGAAGTCATCCATTTTGATAGGAACAACAGCAAAATGGACAATGATTTAAAGGGTGAAAAATTGCAGCATGCTACTGTGCAGAGGGACCTGGGTGTCCTTGTGCATGAATCACAAAATGTTGGTTTGAAGATGCAGCAAGTAATTAATAAGGCATATTGAATATTGTCCTTATTGTTTGAGGGGTTGAGTTTAAAAACAGGGAGGTTATGCTGCAGCTGTACTGAGTATTGGTGAGGCTGCGCTTGGAGTCTTGTGTACAGTTTTGGTCTCCTCACTTGAGAAAGGATGTACTGGTACAGGAAGGGGTGCAGATGGGCACTGGAGGGGGTGTAGATGAGGTTCACTGGGTTGATTATGAAGTTGAGGGTTGACTTAGGAGAGATTGAATAGACTGGGACTATACTTGTTGGAATTTAGAAGAATGAGGGGGCATCTTAGAAAAAGATAAAATTATGAAGGGAATAGATAAGATGGAAGCAGGGAAGTTGTTTTCATTGGTGGGTGAAACTAGTCTCAAAATGAGGGGGAGCAGATATAGGACTGAGTTGAGGAGAAACATCTTCACCCAAAGGATTGTGAATTTGTGGAATTCTCCGCTCCGTGAAGCAGTTGAGGCTTCCTCATTGAATGCTTTTACGACAAAGATAGGTATTTGAACAGTAAAGGAATTAAGGGTTATGGTGAGCGGGAGGGTAGGTGGAGCTGAGTCCATGGAAAGATCAGCCATGATCTTACTAAATGGCAGAGCAGGCTCGATGGGCCAGATGGCCAACTCCTGCTCCTGGTTCGTATGTTTTTAATGCCAAGAGCAGAATGTTGGGAATCCCTTGGAGGCCACGCTTTCTAAATAAGTGAATCGCTTTGAATGAGGAGGAGACTGTCTGCTTGCGTCAAACATTGTTGTTTGGAGGGTAACGAAATAGAGCTCTATGTGGATGCAAATTGGGGCTCTAATTAGTGACAGAGCTGTGCTGAGATTTGTCCATCTGAGTTTAATGCCTCTGCACATAGCAAGCTCTTTTTTGAAAAGTGGTGAATCTATAAGCAGCCAAATGACTGCAAGTTACTTTATTGAACATGACTACGATGTGCAGGGTCACCAAATTGACAACTGTAGACTTCAGACAAAAAAATAATTTTCAACAAGTTCACCGAACTCTGCAAGAGAAATGAGCACTAAACAGGAACTTGTGCATTAATTTACAGAAATATGTGACACAGCGACAAGAAGAGCTCCGAAAACAGCAGGAACGCATGGCCAAGCAGGAAAAGTGATGAGTCACACCTGCCCAGCACTAACTTCAGTCAAAGTATATTTTGGGTCCAAGTGTTCCCTTTCTCTTATTTTACTGGTTTAACTAGATGGTTACAACATTGTACAAATGATCTTTCCACAGCTGTAACGATTATGGAAACTGTTGTTTTTTGGTTAGTATTGTTGTCTTGTGTTTTTACATAAATTGTTGTAACAATTGGCAATTCTGTTATAATTCAATTAAACACAATTATGTTCTAGTGAAAGTGTTTGCTTTAAATCATTTCACAATCTTATTTTGTGTAGTGCATCTGTGTAGACTGTTCCAATCACTTAGCATGCACAGTTTGACTGTGGGCAGTTCCTGACCATTGAGTGGGCTCAGTGTGTCTGTGGACAGTCTTTGACCATGTACAGTGTGACTGTGTGGATAATCTCTGTCAACACTGTGACTGTATGGACAGTCTCTGGCTGTGGGCGGTGTGACTGTATGGACAGTCTCTGGCTGTGGGCGGTGTGACTGCAGGACAGTCTCTGACTGTGGGCGGTGTGACTGTATGGACAGTCTCTGGCTGTGGGCGGTCTGACTGTATGGACAGTCTCTATGGACAGTCTCTGGGTGGTGTCACTGTAGGACAGTCTCTGACTGGGCGGTGTGACCGTAGGACAGTCTCTGGCTGTGGGCGGTCTGACTGTATGGACAGTCTCTATGGACAGTCTCTGGGTGGTGTCACTGTAGGACAGTCTCTGACTGGGCGGTGTGACCGTAGGACAGTCTCTGACTGTGGGCGGTGTGACTGTATGGACAGTCTCTATGGACAGTCTCTGGGTGGTGTCACTGTAGGACAGTCTCTGACTGTGGGCAGTGTGACTGTATGGACAGTCTCTATGGACAGTCTCTGGGTGGTGTCA